TCGTTTGCGTGCGCGAAGGCGACGGAAAAGGCGGTCTCGGCGACCGACAGCGAGTTCATTTCCTTTAATATGGTTGCCCAGAATTCGACTTTTGTGACCAAATATACGTAAAAACAATTTGCGCATGACGGGCGATAAACTAGGTATGTTTTTGAGCCTTTGAGATATGATACTTCATACCAGACAACGATGCGCCTTAAGATAATGCTGGTTTGTGGCCAATGTGAATATCAAAGCTAGTTAACAGTCGGGCGATTATTTCGGAAGTTTCCTACATATAAGGCTTGCCGTTGTACTTGCCGTATGAGACAGTTGTTTACAAAGGGAAAGCAACCCGGTAAGTAAGTCCTTTTTGTGAGAGGACATCGCTGTTACCATAGCGATAGGCAATATAGAAGAGACTTCGCACGCTGCTTGCTTTACGAGCAGCGGGTAGTTGCTGCCATCACATAGGATAATCTCAGCAGAGGATCCTTTCATAGGGAAGTGAGTAGTGAGGTTACCATAGCTCATCTTTTGTATTCTAAGGCCCAGGAATGACAAGATGTCTCCTATTGCCTCTGCAAGAATAAAATATTTGACTGGGAAGACCTCATTCAGCTTGTGATGTAGCATTTCGACTTTGCAGATCAGTATTGGGACAAATGTTTTATGTGCATACATTTACATTGTAGGCTTAAGTGTGAATCACTTCTTCCCCAAGTCGCCGCAATGCCCCTTCGGCGAGAAGTCCTGATATTAGTGAGTCTATTGAGGTCCCCTTAACTTGGTGGAATTACTTATTGTGGAATTGATAGTAGTTCCTAATGCAGAGTTTGAGCAATTTATGTGACGTTGGGTACCTATACAGGATTGCCCTGAAGACGTTAGCTATGAAATAAATTGCCCAGAAGTGTGTTACAGGAGAAGAGAAGGCAAAAAGTCAAAGAATACGATATATTTATGACTACGGACTTTTATTCAAGACTGCTCAACTAACGCCGCCTTAGAACAGACTTCCTTTGAAATAGCCAACTGTTTAACACATCGTATAGACGTATATGCCATTCAAAACCGGAAATTTGACAGGTCAGCATTAGGATGGTCGGTAGCGAAACTGCACTTCATCTTCAGTTAAGGGTCAATTATTTCCTAGATTTGTGTTTTCTCATGAGAAAACAAATTTAGAATGATGACGCAATGCAGCGGTCCCTTCTTGCACACTCAGAAGTCGAAAGGCGTAGCACAATGGTGGTGATGAGACATGAAACCCACGAATAGGTGGGGTCAGGAGTTGACTCGAGAATAACTCATTCAGGAAAATAAGGCTACCTACTTGCGTTGGCAAGAAGCTAACGGGTACACGCGGATTCTGTACTTTTGGTTGGTCACGAAACGTCGAATATCAAGGAGTCCTTATGCAAAACTGGTATAAATAAATACTGAATCGAACGAGCTTCAGTTGAAGCGGCATAATGGAGAAGCTTTCCTGCGGCACAAAATGCATCAAGTACACTCTCCAAATATTCAATGCACTGGTTTTCGTAAGTGCTCGTTTTCATTGCAATTTTTTAAAATATTCTGTTACCTAACTCTAAGGCTTTCCATGCAGTTATTCAAATTCAGTTACTCGTGAACCTAAGTCCCCTCTCACAAACGTGAATTGAAAATAAAAACAGCAAAATTGCTTTCCATAAGCCTCCATGTGAAATGAGGAAATACTCAAAGAGGGCTTGCACCACCAACAGATAATAAGAATTCCATAGCTTTTATAAAAAAATTTGCCTGTTTGAAATTAGAGCTCTTGTTATTTAAGTTATATAAAACAAAGCACTCTATACAGAATTATTGGTCCTATTCTCCGTTAAGCTTGCCATTTGCTTTCGATTGTGTATCAGGGAACAGCCATTTAATGGCAGCTATAGAAAATGCTCTTCCGTGGATTACTCTAGGCAGTTATCGCGACCCACAACGGCGGCTGAATTGCAATTATCACTGAAGAATTAGGAGCTTAAACGTAGTACAAAGCGAAAGAGTTACACAGACACTGGTACACAGATATATTAATTTCAATAATAGGGGAAATATCGGGCTTGCACAGCTGAGATATGTTCTCGGCTTTTAGCATCAGAAATTCTTCACAGAACAATGTTTAAGGAAGCAGTTACAAAGCTTTGTTTAATTGTCCTTACTTTAGCCAACCGGGATAGACAAGGACAAACTATGCATCATACGAAAATAAAAATATGGATTTTTGTGACGATTAAACAAAACGGTAATAGGGGATTATGGGGGAGGGGGTTGGAGTTTTTTTAGTACTTAGGAAGGGGTTATTTTACCTTGGAGAATTCCACTTAACACTCAAAAGGTTTCGCAACTGAAAAGCTTCATCCAACTCAAAGACCAGGCGTTGTAATAAAGAAAATATGTTAAGTTAGGTCCTCGTATTCAAACAGCAAGGATTATATTAATCTGACATACTTTTCAACAAAGGTTCGCCCTTTAAACAGATCATTATTTTAAGACGAATTTTCACAAAGCAGTTCACTTTCGGTACTTAACTAATCTTTTCCTAACGCAATAGAGAACTGATTATTCACGAATGTACACATGAACCAACATAAATTAAGAAAAAGAGGAATGTAGTTCTTCCGAAGATAGTGCTCGTCGTATCATCATACTCTTTTTCGTGTTACGGGATTCCTTAATCGGATTGCACACAAATTTTGTCATCGAAACCAAACTGCGACTATTTGTACCAATATAGGCGGTGGCAGCATTTACCGAAATAATTCAAATGCATTATATATACTTTGTTGTAGTTTTTATAAGTTGACGTCTTTCAGAAGTCACGAAAAGTGAAATGATACATTCATGTGCAAATAATTATCATAGGTCCTAAGAGTCTATTAAGTCAACTTCTTCATTACAGATACTCGGTGGCGTTATACTCGGCTTTGGCATTTATTTTGTTGTGGAAGCAGAGAAGGATGTTAATGGACTATATGTTGGTGTTCCTGCCTTCATCCTAACAGTGGGTGCGCTTGTCTTTCTTCTCGGATTTCTGGGTTGCTGCGGAGCCTGGAAGGAGAATGTCTGCTTGTTACGAACCGTAATATTTTTTTCAAATATCTTAACAAAATGTGTTCAGTTTGCAGCAATTATCATTATTCTACTGATAGCCGAAATTATTGGTGGAATACTAGTCTTTGTCTACAGACATAAGGTAAGAAGTTTGCAAACGTAAACACGTCTGTTCCTTACCTAAAATAGTTCGTCGACTTGCTAGGAGATGGCATTGCGGACACGATTAAGGATCTGAAAAATTTGAGTAAGCCACAACAAGAGGCCACCATGAAGACACTTAATGAGCTGCAAGAAAAGGTAAGCTGGTCTATCACATGATTGTGTCAAATATCTAGCTCGAATGTTGCGGAGGTCATAATTCCAGCGATTGGAGTAAACCTCTTCCCTCCTCCTGCTGCGAAGACGAACCTACTGTCTGCTTAAAGCCATACAAGCAGGTAAGCGAACACTATAAGCATCCTTCTTCTTGGTTCTACGTTTCAGAAGCCCTCGACCACTCTGTGAGGTTTCGACAGATAAACATTCCATTCGTGCATCTACCTTACGCCTGACGAACTGTGATAATATCTATAATACATAAAATGTGCAGAGAGCTAGGAAAACTCAAGCACACAAGGAATACCATACCTAAGCATAACTCAGCATAATGCCAAATATTTTTGTAGTAATCAGTTGCTGACGTTTCAATACATGTTCGCGTGTATGTACTCACACGGTGTCCAATTATAACAATTTAGTACGATAAGTATTTGCTTTGCGTAAATCGCAATGTCCATTCAATTTTACCAAATATACTGTATATAAAAGTAATAAATTGTATGGTTTTATGTCAGATATTCAACTAAAGCAGAAGAAATAATCAAAGGTCGCTGATGAATAGCAAATGCTCGCATATATGGCAGACTTTTCAGTCGAACGACATGTGTCATGCCCGTCTAGTTGCTGCAATTACCTTACAGGCTAACTGTGCTATGTCTCAGAGCGAAGGTCCGTTTTCCCTTTATAAACTCCTGCTTCTCAGATGACATGTGCTTTTATTCTTCCTTCTGATAGGGTTGCGCACAAGCCATGTATGATTATATGAAGCAGAAATCACTAGCCATGGGCATTATCCTCTTTGTAATGGCGGTCCTCGAACTTGGCGCAATCATTTCAGCCTGCTGCCTGGCCAAAAAGCTTGGCGAGTATGAAAAAGTCTAAGACCGATCATCATCGTCAGGGGCTCGATGCGCTCTGGGTCTCTGCGTAAACAGCAGTCTGCCAATTTCAATTTATCGCTCGAATGCTCTACCTTCCCTGTTATGCACCATTCTCCTTTCCGTCTTTTGTTCTACTCACTTTTAACTGTTTCGCAGATATTTTCAAAAAACTGGCAGAAGAATAAAAATATCCTGGTTGCTACCATGTATTTTACTTTAAAGGTAAATAACGGTTTCTGCTCTTAATGTATGCTTAAGATATTATTTGGCCAATATAAGGTCACATACGTCGTTATGACACTGGACAATTAGACCTTCACAATGATGGAGTAGTAGTAACAATGCATTGTGTACACAAGATTTAGTAAATAGTTTCCACTCGGTCTGGCATGGCGTTCGACAGTGAGGGCCGCGCAAGAGCGCGGCGTCTTCACATCCGTCCCGCTCGTGATGGAATCCAAAGTGCCCTTTAGCCAACAGCCTCTGAGTTGAGGTCTTGTGTGATTCGGCCTGTGATTGGTTGAACCGCTCGAGGTGGGCGCAATTTCGGCTCAGGCGAGACTAGGCGTGTTAGTAAGTCGCTCATGCCATTAAGTGAGAGACGGACAGGGTGCCGGTAGTCAGCGTAACTGCAGCGTTGGCGTGATGAGGCAACGATCACGGGTTCCCACAGTGGCGCTAATGCCCACTACAGTCTGACCCAGAGGTCAGCGCTAAAGAAGTTAGAGGCAGTTGATGAGTACAAATATGCACTACCGTTACAGGTATCGTCCTTAGGGTCCCACGCAAACCCCAGGGCAGGAGTTTCGAGGCAGAGGACTAAGAATATGTGGGAATTCTAAAATAATTTGATAATATCATCTCCCTGACGGGCGACACGGTGTCCTCGACGATCGCCATTTATAAGACAAAAACATGAACTAAATTGGGAAAGCTGTTACCGGAAAGTTATCTTATGAACCGTTGGTTTCAAGGCAGTTCAGAGAGTTTGGGAGCCCCGTACATACAGAGGAATATTACTAAAAATACGAAGGAAACGACGTTGGCTATTTCTGCTTTATTACCCGTCATATGCTTGCCCTTACCCAAATCCGGGTTTTGTAAACCGTAGGCCTCGACGTGGCGGCCCTTTAAGTATAAGCTCAACTTTCCAACCACTGCGTCATGTGCCAATGCTCTGTCCTAACGTAGTTAGTAAGCGCCACAGTTCAGCTCTCTGCATATCCGATCATGACAGCTCAGTTAGGTACTTTCGTTCAGATACGGAACGACGTATCACGCTCAGTGGCGATTGCCACTTATTTCTGGAGCCTCGCCTGTACCATATGAAGTTAGTGTCGCTATTTGCTCACATGCTGGGCTCTTAATGAAACGGCAGATCATCTTCCGTAAAGGATTAACCATTTATAAAGGTGACGCTTTCTCATAC